TCTATCGATACTTGTCTAAATATATCGATACATGATGAACATGTATCAATAAATTTGGACTGGAAGGCATTTTTCAAAGTCCTTTTAATTGTTTTTCTTTTCAAACTCATTTGTAAGTGCTAAAGGATATTTAGACTTTATTGTTTAAGTCTTAGATGATAATTTGATCACTTTCTGTTGTCATTTCAAAATATGGGATCAATTTGAAAGTTATAAAGCTAATCGTATTTGTAACCTCTATGATTGAAATTTGAATAATTTCTCATACGTTCTAGCCAGCTTGTGCAATTCTATTACATATTTAGAATCGATTCTTTATTGTTGCATTTTTCGTTCTTCATAAAGTCTAGAGCTTTCTATCTCGAGAGAATCAAATCTTTTATTTTAAGGTGTTGGTTCTTCTACAACTAGGTTCAAAGGTGACACCTTTACAATCTTAAAGAATCGATTCTTTTGCCTTAAAGTGTCGATTCTTCACTATGATCTGGTGTCAAAATTTGAATTTAAGCTTAATCTTTGCTGCTTCAATCTTGTCCAATTGTACCATCTCTTCATTTGGTCACCAAGTTTTTGAATTTTACTTTTGGTGCTTCAAGAATTGATATTTTTTTTCATGTAGAATCGATTCTTTCTTCTTTGTATTTTTGCCTTCTGCATTCTATCCCTCTAAAATATATTCATCTCTAAGGTGACGATTTTTCACAAATCCTAAAGCTTCTATCTTTCAAAAATCGACTTATTCTATTCTTAAAATTGATTCTTCATTATTGATCTCTACTTAAGAACTGACTTCTCCTTTTACAGAATCAATTCTTCTTGTAATGAAGAAATATATTTTACTTTTTCTTCATTTAAGAATCAAGTCTTTTCTTTTAAGAATTTGATTCTTAGGCTAACATTTTGAGTTTTGAAAACAAGAGATCTTTGAGAAAATTAATAAACATTTCTTTGAGTTCAAGAGCATGATCATTCATATTCAAAACGTGTTCAAATAATCATAGCATTTCAATATATCTTTCTCTTAAGTTCAACTTCAACACTTTTTTAGGTATTTTCTTCATATTCAAAAGTATCTTTTATTTATTTTCAAAACTCATTAAGTTCAATTAATTTTGTCATTTCAAAACAAGAATAAAGTTAACACATTCTCTTTGAGAGAAGATTTAATCTTATTATTCATGCATCACAAAGCATTCAACTTTTCAAGATGTACTAGCTTAGATTACAAGTCTTTTGCTGCACCTAAAAACTTCATTTTCAAGAACTAGAGTATGACCCATGCTTTGCACACAGGCCTCTTTACACCTTTCTTTTTTTGGTTTCTCTTTGCTTCAACATCTTTTCTCTTTCTTTCTCTACCTTGAAATAAAAGAAGTAGAATTACTAGAGAAGCTATGGATATCTCTATCTATCTTTCTTTCTCCAAGATTGAGCTTTTGTTGTTGTTGTTGTGTTTCATAAAAGTTTTACCTTCTGTTCAGGAAGAGAGAGAGAAATTAAGACCAACCCCATTTTTTTTTCTCTCATTTTTTTTTGTATTAGAAAAAACCTAAAAGAAATAACAAAGGCTAGCCCTTTTGTGGGGATTTGTTGTAAATTCATCTTTTTCTTTTGCTTTTTCTTTAGATTTGTTACTAATCCTTTTTTTTCTTTTTTTCTACTTCCACTACTATCCTCTAGTAGAATTGTTTTATTTTTTAGTTTTACTCACATGTGCGGGCAATTTGAGATTTCTTTTGGAAACTTGTTAGATCTGTGAAACTTGCTTCTTGAAGCCTTGTGGCCACTTTTTAAGCTTACATGAGGCAAAATGAGAAAGCCCCTTTGGAGCTTCCTTTTAAGTATGCTATAGATTTTGAATCTTTAAGACAAATTCCAAGGAACTAGCAAGCAAAAAAACTTAATCAATGGATGTTCAAATAATTTTTGGTCGAATAATTTCCCATAGGGCCATGGCAAGCTTTGAATGAGAATTAAGGATCACTCTATCAGCATTGGCTTTGGAAAGTTCTAAAGGTGCTAAATGGCAAACGTGGTTACCTTTCGACCTAGCTTATAATTATCCATGAAGTAAATCCTAATGGACTATTCAACATGTCATCAATAATAGAATATTATATTTCAAACATCTTTATTTTACTATGAATATGATGTTTAGCAAGTCTTGAACAAAGCAACTTTGCTCTACCATTGTCACTAACCTTTTACTAGTAATATTAGTAATAGCACCTCCTTTCAACTTCTTCAATCATATAGTCGACTAGTGCACGTTCTTCCTCAAGTGTCCAAACTTGCTTGTAAGTTGTCATTTCTATATTATGAGGCAATAGATAGAATGAACATATACTTACTCAATTATTAAATGCACAGATTATATGCTAAAGACAAGCAAATCTACAAGTCTAGAACCAGGCAACTTACAACTTTATTTTGTTATGCATATGATGTTCAACAAGTTTAGAACCATGCAACTTTTACTCCATTAGTGTTGCTAACCTACTATTAGTAGTGCTAGTTAAATCTCCTTTTAACTACTTTAATCATACAATATACTAGTGCAAATGCTTTCTTAAGTGCCCATACTCTCTTATGACTTGCCAATTCTATATTATTATGCAATTAATAGAATTAACATGTACAATTGTTAAACATATAGATTATATGCTAGAGACAATCAAACTTAGGAAGAAATAGTTTTTAATTCCACTATGCTCATAGATACAAGCAAGCTTGGAAGCAAACTTAACAGATATATGCTAGAGATAAAGAAACTACTATGCATTCCTTTTTTTTTAAAAAAAATATTGTTAAGGTTTCTTTTTAAAATAAAAGAAAGAGATAATTTTGATTAATCTAAGAAAAGTTAGAACCATTTTTTACAAAAGCATCATAATTCAATCCAACCAAATTCACTACTATTTTCAACTAAAGCAATCGAAAAAGGGTTTTAAATATTTTAATTTTTGGGTTAATGTCAGATTAAATTAGTAAAAAATAAAGAAATTAAAAAAATCAAAACCCATATGTAAATAACTTTATAGTATTTTATTTTTTGAATTTTTAAAAATTAACTAAGGAAACAAAAAGCTTCGAGTAAAATTTTAATTTACCCAACACATATTCACTGTCGTATTACACAAACAATCAATTAAATCTCAAACATACAATTTAATCAAATATACCATACCAATTACCATAAATATATTAATTTTTTTCACCAACAAATACTAAAATAGTTTAGGTTAATTTCAAGAGTGAAACAAAAGATACCAAAGTAAATATCAAAACCAAATCGTCAATCAACTAAGCTAGAAAGCTTTCGATCACTGATGGCTTCACTAACGACGATGGGTTTGAGCTTGGAGGGAGGGGCAGCTCAACTAGGGTTTATGAAAATAAAAAGAAAATGACTTTCTAGTAAGGTTTGTAGAAATTTGCTCCTAGTTGTTTTTTCTTTTTTAGATATAATTTCATTTAATTACAACATTTATAACTCTATATAAAAAGCCTCAATGGGACTCCCAAATAGTACCTAGACCTGAAAATTTTAGATACAATACGAAAATACACGGAGTTAAATAGGTTTGAGTTTAATTTTAACATGTTTTGTATTTAATCGTGTCTGACACATTTAAGACATGAGTAACATGTTTAAACACATTTAATTAATTATGTTACTGTATTTAAACTTGTATATAAATGGCACATTTATCAACTTGTTAAATATTAATAATCGAAGACTATTTTAACCTTACTTAAATAATTTTAAATAATTATTTTAATAAGTTTTTTTAATTTTATAAAGATAATAATGTAATTATGTCATACCTAAACCCTAATTTTGAACTTTTATTTGTTATATTTGATTTTATTATTTTATTTTGTTATAATTATTTTTATAACTATTGGTTTTAAATTTAAATAATAAAATTATATTTAATTGTAAATATTTTTATTTAATTGTGTTAAACATGTTAATTGTGTTATTAATCGTGTCATATTATATATTGACACTTTTAACAAATGTGTTAGTCATGTTGTGTCATATTACATGGTTATTAAATGTAAATATGTATGTATTTTAGATTTAAGATACGAATATTACTCATATCGTGTTCATATTTAATTTTATTGTGTTTCATATCTAATCATGTCTGATATGTTTAAGACATAAAAACACAAATTGTCAAATCTAACAATACCACGTGGCCACTTCAACAAAGAATGCTACAAGTCAAAGAAGTAGTCAGCTTTTGCATGTGGAGCTGTCAAGAGACAATTGTTATGAGATTTGGTCTTCGGCGACCCACATCACTGGTGGCCTATATGGGTGATGGATTGCAATTGGCAAGATTTGCCAAGTCAAATTTTAGTTATGGGTAGAAACAAACATTTACTAAGAGTATAAAGGAAAAAGAGTTCATATTTCTATTGAAATTAAAAATTAAAGGTATAATTTCATAAATTATATTCAAAATTTTAAATAAATTTTTATTTTTATTATATTTTAATTAATTTTTTTTATTTTAAATCAAATAAATTTTTATGATTAATAATTGACTAATTATTATTCGTTAAAATGTTATTTGTCATATTGATATAACATAATAAATAATAACGTGATATATAAATATAATATAGTGACATAACCATACGATATTTTTATCTTATATTTAGTTACATTAACAGCATATAATGTAAAAGATGATAAATTATGTTTGAATTAATGACATTTAATCAATTATTAATTATAGAAGCTTATTTGATGAGTAATATAAGAATAAAAATTTATTTAATTTTATAAAAATAATTTAAAAAATATTATGTGAAAAATAAAGTAAAACAATTGTGTGCATGGGATTACCTTACCTTTGAAATTTTTGAAAAATTGAGAAATCAATATTATGGAATTCTGTGCTATCAGATGAAGAGGAAGGAAGCAAGCATACCCAAGAATCTTATCAATATTTGAGCAAAAAATTGAACATTGCGTGAAACAAACGCGCTTGCAACAGGGATGACGTCCGACCACAGCAGGAGCCCTGGCCACTAAATCAATGAACTTCATTTGCTAATAGCCCCACAAAAACAAAAACTGTAACCCAACTAAGAGTTGGAAATAGGACAATGTTGATAACGGTCAGAGAAGCTTCGTCTTGGCCTCTTAGCTTCAACCTCTCTACACTCTCTCATCCCAATCCCAAACCTTCTCCACTGCTCAAAGCCTATGTTTGCAGAGCCAGTTTAACCGTCCATAGAAAACCCAGCTCCAACCAATCATGGAAACTTGGTCTTCTTTCTAACAGGTAACCTCTTTCAGATACCCTTTTGTTCGATCTTCTATAAATCCTTGTTTTACCCTTTATTTTTTCCATTTTAGTCTTGTAGTGTCGTTCAAAAAATGGTCTTCTTTTTGGCTTGAAATTTGCTTGTATGTTTTGTTTAATATTATTATATGCTTTTTATTGTACATTGAGCTTGCTACTGCTAGGGAGGAAAATGTTATGTTTTGAGGGGATAAGCAAGTTATTTATTGTATTTTTAAGGACTAGAAGCTTAGGCGATATGACAGATCAGAATTCTGCAAAGAAAATTTAGAACTTTGCATGCCGAGTTTCTTAACACTATATATTTAAACTCCATGTCTTTATTAACTTCTGAACCCTTGCTAGGAATTTTCCTGTAGACTTGCTGTTATAATTGTCATTTGTCTTCTGATTGGAATTCCTTCTCAGCCATAAAGGATCTGTTTTTGATCCCTTGGGTATCAATCCAGATGTCTCTGGTCTAAATGGTGTTTGGGAAAGTTTTTTAGCCTTGTTAACACCTACATTTGAGAGTACTTCTGGTACAAAGAAGGAGAAATCTTCTTCAGCTCGAGGAGTGGCAGGTTTGTTTTTTAAGCTTGTAAATTTATTTATCAACTATTTGCATGCGTCAAAATGATTTGATCCGTCTTGGCAGTTGACATAAATCCTTTGGACTTTGGCAGCTGCAATTGAGGACAGTTCCATTGACTTTGGGGATTTCTTCAAAGGCCAATTACCCGGAAAATTTCTCAAGCTTTTAGCGTATTTAGCCCTGTCACGTCTTGGAGTTTATATACCTCTAGGTGGGGTTAACCGAGAGGCTTTTGTTGGCAATTTGGATCAGAACAGTCTACTGAGCACTTTGGATTCATTCTCTGGAGGAGGCATTGGTAGACTTGGTATATGCTCCCTCGGTATTGTTCCCTTCATTAATGCACAAATTGTGTTTCAACTTCTTGCCCAAGTTTACCCTAAATTGCAAGATCTTCAGAAAAGAGAAGGTGAAGCAGGAAGAAAGAAAGTTCTTCAGTATACTAGATATGCTTCAGTTGGTTTTGCTATAGTACAGGTGAGGAACTTAATTCCCCAGTGACTTACAGGTTAGCTAACTAGATATAAGGTAATTGTTAGGTCTGTATCAATGTTTCGCATCCAAAAGGTCCTGAATTCTACCTCCTTTTTCCCCTCCATATTATGTACTATGCAGATTACCGTTGCTAAATATAAGGTCTTATATATTATTACGTTTCATTGCAGGCAATTGGCCAAGTACTATACCTTCGTCCGTATGTCAATGACTTTAGCACACAGTGGGTTCTCTCCTCTGTCACTCTATTGACACTTGGTGCTGTACTTACGACATATATTGGGGAAAGAATTTCTGATCTAAAACTTGGAAATGGCACATCTCTTCTAATATTTACAAACATTTTATCCTACTTGCCAGCCTCTTTTGGTAGGACAGTTGTGCAGGCATATCAGGATGGTAACTACGTTGGACTTGTTACCATCATTATCTCATTCTTCCTACTGGTTCTTGGCATTGTCTATGTTCAGGTAACCCTACTTGTATTGTTTATAAAAGTTCTATCAGTAAAGGGAAAAAATATGAACTGTTGTCTCAACAAAGGGTTTCAGGAAGCAGAGAGGAAGATTCCACTCAACTACGCCTCAAGATACAGCAGCAGAAGTGGAGGACTTCAAAAATCTGCTTACCTACCTTTTAAGGTCTGTGTTCCCAATAATTGCTTAAAAGGTTCTAATACTGTGATGTGCTTGATGACAATAGTACTGGCCTCACTGAGGTGTAACAAAATTGGAATGGATTCTTTGTTTGCATGAGCACTCAATTGAGAAACATATCGTCGGCACCAACTTCTCACACGTAAAATGGATTAAATACTGTATAATTTGTGCCTGTACTAATTCTTAAAAGTTGATATTCTTTCATTGGGACATGCTCTCTAGCATCATTGACTCCTCTAGTCTGTCAAGGGGCAGCTGAAGCCTAAAGTACAAGTAAACATGTTTTTCTTATGGCTTATGATCATAATGATAATGGAGTACTTTATGATGTTGATCATGTCGCAGTCAAGGACTTGTCGGAAATTCAATTGATCATGAAGAAGAGGTTGAATAATTTTAAACACATTTCCATAGATGCATCTTTTATACAAAGATCACATGATTTGAATAATTTTAATTGCATATCCTTAGGTGCATCTTGTATACAAAGGTGGAAAGATTACGATTTCTTTCTTGTAACTATGCTTGCCAGTTGTTGAACCATGATGTAGCATTTATTTGTTAGTTGCATATCTTCTAGAGAGGGGTGTTCTTTGAGTTTCTTATAATTTGGGATTGGGAGATGGTAAAGTAAGACAGCTGTTAAATTTTGCTACACTTGCATGTGGGTGATAGATTGCGAGAAAAAAAAGATAAATTAGTTGGATCCTTAACAACATATTCAGTTCAGTCTGTTACTAGCAGCAACTTAAAATTAAAAAAAGAAGGTGATATGCTTGCATTCTCCACACCAGCTTTAATGTCGGAAATTATGAGGCATTTTGTTAACCTTAGACATTGAAGTTTAGTAAATTGACAGATTACCACCTGCCTCTTACATTTTGTTGTATCCTCCACATCAAGACACACTTAGCATTTGGACCAAGAATTGATGAGGAGCTCCTAAAGTGATGCAGTTTGAGAAGAGAAATTTGATGAAGAAAACAGTAGATTTAATATTCTTGATGTGCTGATGGAATTGTGAATTGGGACCTTTGGAAGCTCATATCAAAAGTAAAAACCTCTGAAGTTATTAAATCCACTGAAAGAGTGACGTTGTCAAGCGGGGAACAGTGGGATTTGCAGCTAAATTCCTCGAAGCTTCAACTACTAATCAAGGAACTGGGCAAGCTACAAGAGGAAGAGCCCAAATGTTAAAAAGAATTTTTTGAGAGATCAAATGTGAAAATTGGATGGATTTTTTAAACTGACAACTTAGTGTTCTGGCCTATACTGTCAGGCTGAGATTATTTTCAACTGCTTCTTATGAGCTTCTATGCATGGTTTGGGCAACTAACTATCAACATACGCAAAAGATGAGCATGGCTGAGATGAGTATTTTGTGTTGGATATGTGCATAGAAGGACATACTTATTTATGAGATTAAGAATGATTTCATAAAGGAAAAAGTAGGGGTTGCAGCATTGAGGTCAAAATGAGGGAAACATGTATGAGGTGCTTTAGACATGTGAAAAGGAGACCTGCAAAGTTTTGAGAAGATGTGATTAACTGGAGGATATTCATATCAAGAGAAGAAGAGGAAGAGCAAAGAGGACACAGATGGAAACTAATAAAATGGACTTCATATTACTGAGCTTAATGAGGATATGGCTTAAATAGAGCACAGTGGTGAAATAGGATTCATATAGCTGAACAGCCATGGTGGGAAAAGGCTTGTTACTTTTGTTGTTGTTCTTGTTGCTTGTTTAGCTTCTGGTAGATAGGAGCACTTTTTCCATCTCTTACCACTGTTATTTCTCACAAAGTTGTGCACCTGTTTCCTGTGAAAATTTCTCTTTTTTGTTTCCCTATCCATTCTAAATGTAAAATTGTTACCTTTAGCTGCTGCTAAATTCTGATTTCTATCTGTTTGTTCAAATCTTGCCAACTTACTCTGTCCGTCATGTTCATGACTGTTTAACTGGTTTAGATTTTATTTGTTAACTTTGTAGTGTTTGATAGGACATTTACATTTATTTAATTGGAATGGAAGTTTCTATCAGTGTGATGGTCATTTTGATCATGCAAACTTTCGATGCACTTCTCTGGTACCTCATTCCTGCTCTAGATTCTTGTTAACCACAACATTTCTTTCACTGGTGTTGCATGTGCAGCTTCCCTATCTTTCCTTAATTGAGATTACTAATTATGTTTGTCCGTCTTGCAATCAACATGTACTGTCTTGTCTTTGTATTCATTCAATTGTTTTGGCCAACCAGGTGAACAGCTCTGGAGTGATGCCAATTATATTTTCAACATCATCCCTAGCTCTTCCTGGTACTTTAGCACGATTCACTGGCATATCTGTGCTAAAGAAGGCTGCAGTGGCTTTGAATCCTGGAGGTAAAATAATGATTTTGACTGCTAGAAGTTCTTAAGGATGAAAATGTGTACCAGATTGATATGAGATGTTCCTTGGCTCTATAATCTGTTCGGTTTTCTTCTGTAAAAGCTGTCAGTTAGCAAAATCTTCTCAGTGTTCTGTGAATATATTGCATTGACACATGCTGTGTTAAATCTTAAATTTAAGGGTTAAAATCTTGTTAATGTTCCTTCCAAATATTTCAAGATGTAACAGATGCTTGAACTGCTGAAATCTCTTATTGCCAATCCAATGCTAATGGTAGGACAACGGTTTGGTTCTTTTTTCTTGCTTTGCTACAGTGTTTAAAACCTTTCATCAGAGCTAGGTGGATGATATGAATTGCTTATTGAAACTTATATAATTTTCTAGCCAAAGAAAGAAGGGGTGGGCAGGGGAAGTTACACTGTAATTTTCGTAGGTGTAATCCTGAGAAAGGACTGAAGAGGTAAAATGAAATGAAAGAATATGCCATTATTATATCCTTTTGGCTGTTGAAGTTCCCACCTTTCTATATGATTAATTGTAAATTATAAACGTTTGTAGGATCTCTCTACCTTCCTACCAATATCTTGTTGATAGCCTTTTTCAATTACTACTATACTTTCCTACAACTGGACCCTGATGATGTTAGCGAACAACTGAAGCGCCAAGGTGCTTCAATTCCACTGGTCCGACCTGGTAAAAGTACAGCAGCATTTCTGAAGACGGTAATCCTCTTTTCTGTGGCTAGTGACTTTATTGTGCTAGCCTGATATTTATTCAGTGATACATGTTGATGATTGTGTTCAACTACCTTTACCATGTAGTCTGCGTGTGGTTATCAATATGATCTCTATGACAATTCAGTATAAAATTTTAACAAATTTGGTCCCCTAATTCTAGAAAATGAAAAAAAAAAAAGGGAAAGAAAACAAAGATATGTATCATGACTTGAAATGTTGACTCCTGAAATTTTCAACTATTTAAATCCACTTTCTCATAAGGTAGGTAATAGATATTTGTGTCTTCTGCTCCTTGTACTCAACCGCTTCATTATTTAGATATTGTATCTAAAATGATTTGGCTGACTTTAATTGTATTTCTAACTTAACCTCCATTTTTTTTTAATGACGGACTCATATTTGCATCTATTATTGGAATATAGGTTCTTAGTCGGATATCAGTTTTGGGTTCAGCATTTTTAGCAATCCTGGCTGCTGGTCCTGCTGTAATTGAGCAAACCACACACTTAACTGCATTCCGAGGATTTGCAGGGACTTCTGTTCTTATTCTTGTGGGATGTGCAACTGATACTGCAAGAAAAGTTCAAGCAGAGATAATATCTCAAAAGTACAAGAACATAGAGTTTTATGACTTCGACAGGTATGGGCCCTAAATGGGGATAGCAAGTTGAAGACCGGACGAGGATGAGAAGACCATTTTGCAATGACTAATTCTGTTTACGATATCTTCTCTAATAGGTTTGATGGTAATGCTTGCTATGACCATCATACTCCGTCCATGGTCAATTTTCCCTAGCATAAGATCAACTAAGGATGTTTCTTGTACATATGCTGCTCTGCGGCCACAATTCTTCGTTCAATATATTACAAGGTGATTGAAAACTTGTAATATGCTTATTGGTCAATTCTTGTCTAATGCGTAACCAGAATGATTTGTAGAAACAAAAGATGGAGGCTGAGAAATTACCTGGGAAATGCAAAAACATAATAAACGATGGGATCAACTGTCAACTGTGAAACTTGGTTTAGTAAGTAGAAGTATGCAAAAACAGATAGAAGGCCACAAGAAGGTTGATCCTGAAAAAGGGGTTATTCCATCAATTTAAGTTTTCTGATAGTTTTTATGGTTTATTGCTTAACTAAATGCTCAGTTGTCGCATTAAATTTCAGGTTACCATACGGCCAAAAGCCTACTTCATCAGCATGTTTTACTAATCCGCGACTCAGAGAACCGTTTTCCACTTTCAAATTATATTCAAGGAAGCTGGATTCGACCTTAGGCCAATCTTTTTGCCAAAGGCATTCCTAACTGATGCACTTCATGAGTAAATATTATAAGAGAATCAGACTGATAGCCAAACTTATACATCAAATCAATTTGTTAATATCTCAAGTCTTTTCCAGGGCTCGTGGGTTAGACTCAGCTTGCATTTGATGAAACCCCACTAATAAATAGCTAATAGTATACAGGCAGTGCACGACACAACCTTCTCCTGCTCGTTAGTAAGGTTTCCACCCTTGGGCACAATCTGTTCAAGATCCGGGATTCCCAATCCCATCAATAAGATTCTGAATCTGCTATTATACTGAAATATGTCTGACCCCCCAACTAGAGAAGCTCAAGCAACATAAGCTCTTTATCATAATGCAAACAATCAGTCATCATCAGGCTCGGTAGAAAAGTCAGGTTCTTCTGGTTTTTGTAATTTTGGCAACTCAACATCTTTGATCTTCTGAGCTCCTCTCCTAGTATTTGCTGCAAACCTTGATGCCAATATGGTGACTCCAAGGTTAAGTTTCGTCTGAGAAGGATTGGAGCCAGCAGGGAATATTTTCTCTTCCTCCTGCCCAGTCTCATCATCCCCTTTCTCATCCAAAGTAAATGATTCTGTCATAGTCAGATTGTTTTCCATTATCCTCCTTTTGTACCGACGCCAAGCAGCCTGTATGAAGCAGGCTGCCCATGTCCTCCAATGGTGGGAGTAAAACCGGAATGTGTGCTGTAGTTTCTTGCTATGGAGCCGTCTAAATTGGTTAGCCACAAATTTAAGATCTTCAGCACGTAGTGCAAAAGCTTCAACCTCAACTAAAGCTCTGACTGTTCTAGTTGAAGAGGGCAAGTTCATGGTGGATTTTGGTAGCAAAGCCCATGCCAGTAGTTCCTCTCCACAAAAATCTCCAGGTCTCAGCACAGTTGAGTTGAAGAAACCAGTTCGACCACCATTAGTTGTTGAACTCTCTAATCTACCTCTAATAATGAAGAGCATCTCTGTCACAGGATCACCCTCACGAACAAGATAGGTACCTTCAGTGCTCAAGGACGACACAAGACGCTCACATATTGCATCAAGCAGCTGATCATCCATTTGGGAGAAAAAGGGGACCTGCAAATGAGAGTAGCTTTAATGAAACTAATTACCAGATTTAATAAAGAAATACCATATGGAAGATTGCACATCCTTCCTTGGGTTTAAACACAAACATTTTGGAGTCAGATCTAATCTAATTGGGTGCAGCAACATTGTTGAGGCAACATATTAATGTTGTTTGATGGAAAATTCAGAATGGAACACATAGACACGATTAGAAGGAAGATCCTTGCAAAATGTGGTGAATGTATGCATTTTTATTCCACCTAAGTGGCAGGATCTAAGGGAGGACTATGTACAGCTCAGGAGGTAGTTAACCTAGATCTTCGCCATATGAATGCCCTGCAAGAAGAAAAGTCATGCTCAAAACAGAAGAGGCTGGTTTCTAAGTAAATAATTACATTACTCTTAAAATTCAATGTGGACAATCTCCCATCAAGACTTTTTGTTAGTAGAAACACCTAAAACAAAAGCAAGTTAACAATGGTTTGAAACTCAGAAAGAAATTGATTTGGGAAAGCACTGCATACACGTCGAACGAGGTCCAAGCATAAGTGGCGTTGAATATCTCGACTAAGATCAGCAGGTAAGCCACGCAAGATGGCTTCTTCATTAACTCCCCGAGTTGCAAGCCATTTATACTGAACAAAACGTCGAACACGATGTTTTAAATCTTCAGGGAGTTGACGATGCCTCATCCACTCCTCGGTGTCCCTTCGCTTAAGTCTCCATTCCTCAAGTCTCACTGTGAGGGATTGCAGATATGTCTGTATCACAGAAACAAAAGTAAACTATCAGAATGTGCAAGAAAAGTAACATGACAGGAATAATTGTTTTAAATGAGGACAAATAATCAGTTAAAATTAATTTGAAAATTGAAGCATAATGCAGTATTTTGCCAGCTACTAGAAACTAGATAAGAATGCATCTTACTTCCTATTTCACAACTTCCCTGCACGGAGGAAGAAAGAAAAAGGAGATCACAACTGCCAAGAGTGGACAGCTCAAGAAAGACAGTACTATGTGGTCAAGACAAAGTTCTGACAGATACAAATTAATTAGATGCAGTCTACTGAACAAATTCAAACAAAAAATTCCATCATCAACACATAACTGTGAGAAGATTGACAACATATATCACAACTTTATTTGAGTTAATACAAACAGAATGAATTTGATGTTCCAAAGAAAATGTCAAGGATGCAAACTTTCTGATACCTGCATGTTGCCAATCAAGTGGGCAAATAGAACAAGACCCAAGATAGCAATAAGTATAGCAAATAGTGTCTCCCCAATGAATGTGCTTGTTGACAAATTCTGGCCATAGGAACTGAGATGATATGAAAACAAAAGGCATGTATCAACATTTGTAAAGACAACAACTCATTAAATGACATCTGCTTTCTTTAATTTTCATATTAGATAAACTAATTCAATGTGCAAAGCAATTTTCCTGTAAATGATACGGAAAAGAAGTGTAAATGGTCTACAATCCTCTAATTAGCATTTCATGGAATAGGTATTATAAAAGCATTAAGTAATATGAAATGTTGATTGCTGGTCATCATTTGTTTCAATTTGCAAACAGCAAACAACAATGTTGATCCCACTGTATGCACATCTACTACTTCCTAGGGGCACGTAAAGTTATAACCTCTCTATTTTGAATGCTATCCATTCCAAACTAGAAAAGAGAAACATAAAATTGACCAGTAGGCATCTGATTTTATTCATTTCAGATGCATATCTAAAGGAAAGAAATTCGCATATTGATCACAATTATGGTGAAGGTTTACATCTTTTCCATCAAATCTTCCAGGAATATTTATCTCATTGAACACAACTGAAACATTCAATATATTCACATTGTAGTAATAAGGTACACTTTTTGCCTCATACTGAAACCTACAATAGAATATGACCAGTTAGATGATAACAGTTGTGTAATACAACATCACAGGCAAGATATTGAGTGCATCACTCAAGTTGGCACAATTTTTTGATGTGATGCAAATGTTTTTGAGATCAAGTAGCTTCCGAATCTTAGTAGCACAGAAGAGTTCCCTTCTAAAACTAAAAGCATATTGCAGCATGCCTCATGCTTCATGCCTCCTGTCTCCACATGGTCACCGCATTTCTGTGTCCCTTCACAAATGCTTAGTAAATGGCTGTTCCCATTGGCTTGTGGTTCTTTTCTCAAACAGTTTACTGGAACTGTTCAAAAGTTTTGTTACCAAAACTAGAAAGGGAACAAACAGGAAAAGGTAAATCGTGTGGAAGGAGGGAAACAATATTATCATGGGAACTTATCTCCATAACCTTCCATCACTTTAGCTGCAGTTGCAAATTATTACATATCTTCAACCATATACCAAATGTAAATTCCAATGCATATGCCTCTGATTCTTTGCAGTGATGGCAAGGTCATAAATTCAAGAGAGAGAGAGAGAGAGAGAGAGATAAGGTTTTTCAGGGAAGAATGCAGGAACCAAGAACTTATGCTTAGCAAGGAATTTCCAAGCCCAAATTCAACAGATGAACCACAACATTTTCCCTATGGCCATGTGACATAGTTCACAAGCAAGATATTGTAATTTCAAAACAGAACACTTACTAGCATCAATTTTTTTTCAACCATATTTTATGGAAAAGATGAATTAAATTAAAGATACTTACTGCATGGCTTTAGGCCATTTGGAGGACAAGGAAGACCTCTGATGGCACCTCATTAACGATAGAGGCCTTTCTTTGAGTTGTTAAGGGGAAAAATTATTAGATTAACAACTCATATGTATCTCATGAGATAGTTTCACAAAGGAAGGATTCATCATTTTCGTATGAATCTTCACTAATGTCCTAATATCTCTCCATCTTGTAAAGGCAAAAAAGTGAAAACCCACAAAAATTTTGATGCTAACAAAGAAATAAACTTGCAATTCTACACAGTTGAACTTCCATATTAATGCAACCACCATCAGCAAGTGCATAATTATTATATAAATGTCATTTGATTGCATGTAAAGTATGTCTGAACTACACTCTCACTATATTGCCAGAGTATCTAATGCAATGTGGTTAGTGAAATCCCATACAGGTACTGCATTGGCACCTAAACTATTTTTTGTAAGTGAAACAACAAAATTTACTAATCGAACAGTTTGGTTGCACTCATCAGCCACCAGGAGATTATCCAAAAAAAAAATATCAGTATATTCTGTGAATAAAGTGAAAAGTAATAAGAATTGGAATAGAAGATAATTTTTATCTATAAAATTTAATAAAATCATACCTAAGTTGCTGTAAGCCCCACCATAAGCAATAGAAATACTTCCGCAGAAAGCCCGAAGAGACAACATTTTTTTTTACTGCGCTTTCAAATATGCCATATTGGAAATTTATGTCACTTCTAGGATCACAGCTCTTGAACACATCTGTCCCATCTGCCCACACCTCGCGATCATCACTACCAAAAGTGTCACAATCTAAATAGTGTAGACTGCATCTGACAGGAGCAAATTCCTTTCTGCA